GTTTGTAATATCGTTAAAGAAATAACTGATGATAAAAATTTACATAAAGCAGAACGCAAAAGATTACAAATAGAGAATGCTAATAAAAGAAGTCAGAAAGCTAAATTGATTATCTTAGCAGATAAATTATATAATTTAAGAGATCTTAAAGAAAATGTACCAGTTGGTTGGTCACAAGATAGAGTAAAAGAATATTTTAAGGTAATTAAACAGAAGTAAAGCAATTTTTTTAACTATTATTTAATTAAATATGTTATAAAAAATATTAATTACAGTGGGCCAAATCTGTAATTGATAGATGTCGTAAAACTAATTTTATTCTTGAAAGAGAGCTAGATCTAATATTTGCAGAAAGGGTATCTAAAGATAGAGAAATTTGTACATGTAAAAAATCATCTAAATCATAATATTATTTTATTAAAATAAAATTCAAAAATAAAAATATATGTATTATAATATGATCTTATGTAATTTAAAAAAATAATAAACATTATTATTAAATATTTTTTTAATAAACATTGTATACAAATTGTAAAATATATAAAGAATTTGGTAATATATAATAATAAATCTTTTGGTAATATCATGTATCTCATATATATATATATATAAAATCATAATATATAATATTCATATATATATGAAATATGAATAATAAAGTATACAATAGAATGGTTAATTTTTACCATATTTTTGGTAGAACCATATCATATATTCTGCCAATTTTTCTACTTCTTCTACAGTAACAGCATTGTACAAAGATGCTCGAATTCCACCTACTAATCTGTAATATTTAATTACAACAATTAATTAAAAAATAATAATAAAAAAAGATATATCAAACAATGAAAAATTATAATTTCTATTATAACGTATATTTCTATTATTTATGCATTCTATTATTTATTATCTATTATGCATTCTATTATTTATTATTTATTATTTCAACTAAGAGATCAATATCATATGTTTGATAGATCTTTTTCTAAGTATACTGACCTATGACCTTTCAACTGAAGCATTCCTCGCGCACTTGCGCCGGATAGAAATTCATTCTCAAGTTTCTCATCGTTTTTACCTATTCTAAATGGTACATTCATCCTGCTTCTTACGTCCGATTTAACTGGACATGAATAGAAATTTTTCGATTTATTAATCACATCATATATCTTTTGACTTTTTGCAATTGCCAGTTTCTCCATTCCTTCAACACTACCATTTTCTTTAATCCATTTGAAAACTAAACCAACTACATATATTCTAAAAATTAGTACAAATATTTTACAAAATGTTATATGTTTATGAAATAAATATTTCAATCGAAATAAAAATTCGATAAATAAATAATAGATTTTTTTATCGAATTGTTTTATTATTAAATATTTTAATCAAAAATACATACTGAAATACTGGTGGTGTATTATATATAGAGTTATTGGCTGCCATAACAGTAAAGTCGAATATTATTGGACAAATTTTCATAGCTTGACCGAGTACATTTTCTCTTACTATTACGAGAGTCACACCAGCTGGACCAATATTTTTCTGGGCGCCAGCAAATATTACTGCAAACTAAATAATATATTACAATATATTATAATAATAATAATGATTATAATATATCATTACATTTCGTCAATTTATTATACATTAATATCAAAATTAACATTACGTACTTTTGAAACATCAAAAGATCTCGTAAGTATATTTGACGACATATCAGCAACTAATGGTATTCCATTCGTTTCAGGAATATAATTAAACTCGATTCCTTAAACAATATATATAAATATATTTTTCGATTATTAAATTGTCATCTCAATTTTATTTTATTATTATTGAGTTACCATGAATCGTTTCGTTAGCACAATAATATACATAAGATGCATTGGGATCCAACTTCCAAGTGGACGGATCAGGAATTTCCGTGTATTTCGTGATTTCTGGTAAAACCAAATTCACTTTGCCATATTTGACCGCTTCTTTTGCTGCTTTAGATGACCATGTACCTTAAAAATGTTATTTATATTAAAATACATTAAAAATATATTAAGAAACCATTTCTTTAAATAATTATATCTCTTATTATGTTCTCAGAAGTTTAGATACATTTAATATATAAAAAAATGTTTAAGAATTTACCAGTTACTAAATAGTCTGCAGTACCAGTTGTCATCATGTTTAAAGGAATAGCGGTGAAAATTCCTGTTCCACCCCCTTGCATAAATAGAATTTTATAATTATCGGGAATATGCCTATAAAATATAAATATTTTGTTATTTTCATGTACTAACATTATATAAACTATTAGATAAAAATATTTTAATATTAATGATGTTTTTAAAAGAAAATTAAATTTTTTATATTTTTATTTTATAATAACTTACAATATTTCTCGTAATGTTATTTGTGCTTCTTCGATAATATTTTTAAATTCAGTCGATCTATGACTTAATTCTAAGATACTGATTCCAGTATTATTATATGCAAGTAATTCTTTTTGTACATGTTGTAATACCTATAAGAAATATATTCTCATTCACGTAATGATATTTGCATATCGTAAAGTATAAGCGTTAATGCTTAAATAAAATAATTAATTTAAAGAGAAGATTTTATATGTATATGTATTATTATATATGATGTGTATGTATTTACGTGTTTAATTAATCATAATTTATATATAATCATAATTCATATTAATGATATTAAACAAATATCGTAAATATATATCGTGAATTGAATAAAATAATTTGAAAATTTATGAAAGCGAATTCTTTATTCTAATTTATCAAATCTATAATATATATCAAATTTAAAAATTGTAAAATTATATTTATTTGATATTTTATTTTAATAATTTTATTTAATTTTAAAATTTAAGCAAAAATAAAATTAAATTATTTAAAGGTAATTAAAAAAATTATATAAAAAAAATTTTCAAAAAAAAGTTTTTTTAAAATATTAATAAAAGAAAATTAAATTAAAAAAATATACATAATATACAAAAATATACATAATAAAAATGTGAATATAAATTAATATGAACCCATTAAAATTAAAAAAGAAGTTATTTTTTATCATACAACATTTATTTATTTTTTTTTCTTATTTTCATATTTTAATATTTTTGTCAATATGGTTTATTAAGAACAGAAAACAAAATACTAAAAATAATATATATTGTATATAATTAAAAAGTGTTCGCGCTACCTCTTCCGGAAGTTTGCCTGGTCCTGCACCAAAATTGATCACTTTGTTTTTTAAAATGCTGCTCTGATTGCTCATTCTAAAATTTGCTATTGTACTTGAAGATTATGAATAGAAAGACTGAACTAGACTCAATACAGAAGAAAATTTCAACGAGCTTCGTTATCTCGTTTTAAAGACTTTTATCGTACACAATTGTTTTTTATTAAATATATGATAATTTTTTACAACACTCTATATCGAAGTATATTATAACTATACCAAAAAGTGTGGATTTCTAAATACTTTACCAATTATAGATTCTTATAAATCAGCTTTTTTTTTATTATATAACTTTCTTTTACTTTCTCTTTAAATTTTTATTTTATTTATAACCACTTTATACACATATTATATTAATATATATATTAATTAATCGTTCATAAATTTATTCGCATTAAAACAAAAATCAATAACTTGTATGATTAACCGTAGATATTTTATTTGTTTTGAATATAACGTTGTGAAGACCTGTTGAATAGATCTTTATGAGAGAGAAATGTGAATTGGTCGTTCATAATATTCATATATAGGGTGTTAATATATTCGCAGAATATTTTTGGAAAATTAATTTTTTTATTTATCGCATTCTGTCTTGCTTTACTTCAGCAAACTATAACTTAATTATAAATAAATTTTAATTAATATTTTTATATGTCAATTTTTGTTTTTATTTTGATTTTTAAAATTGATTCTCTAAAAATGAAAATATTAATGTTCTGTAAATGTATGTATGCGTTTCGCTGAGCAACGACAAAAGTTGAATTTATTAATATTAAAAAACTGATTATTATATTACAATAATTAAAGAAATAAAAAATAGTAATAATTTCAATAATTTTTTTGATTCCTTAAATACATACAATTTCTTGAATCTTAAATCTCTTTTATAATGTATACTATTATAAATTGTAATTATATTACATAAATGAAGTTGATATGATAAAAATGATTTAAATTATTAGAATAATATTATTTTATGACGATTTTATTCTTTCGATAATTTTATCAATACCCCCAACGTTTTATCTTTTCATTGTGGAAATAATATATAACTGATCCATGACACATGATTCATTTAAGTCATCAGTTAAGTCTAAATTTTTTGGTTATTAATTATCTAAGTATATAAATGATAACGGAATTCCTTTTATCTGCTAAGTTTTATACAAATATCTTTTGTAATAATATATATGCGAAAGAAAACTAAATCATTTCGAATGTGTCAATTTGTCATTAGTGATAAAATTCTTAATAAAAAAACATATTTCATTTCATGCATTTTTTAATTATTAATATTCATTAATAATATATTTTATGTATTATATTATTTGTTTCATAAAATACTTGAAATAATTTTAATTAAAGATATAATGTATAATGTAAAATATATAATGTATAAAATTAATGATATATAAAATAATGTTTTTCATTAGTCAGCAGAAAAAGTAGAAAAATCTTATAATTTTTCCGTCATGTAAGTATGTAATATTACATTTAACCTAAATTACAATATATAAGAAATTCCTTTGTTTATATTTAATCAAAATAATTTTTATTTATTATATTTATATATTTAATTAAATATATTGTTATATTTATTTGCAGATATAAAATACTTATAAATATTAAAAAAAACTGTTTGATAAAAAATGATGTAAAAATATGAAATAATATTTTATTCTATCTATTCTATTATAAATATTAAAGCATTTCAAATGTCAAATTGAGATTTAGACAATTTCTAAAGTATGGATTCATTTAAAACATTTGTAAATATTTTTGAACGAGCTGTAATAGAAAGAAATAGTACAAATTTGATAGAAATTTTGAAGAGTAGTCGAAAATATTTTCAAAACATAGCAAAAGATGATAGTGGTACATAATAATAAATTCTTATAATTTTAAAACATATAATATTATATTTATTATATAAAAATAATTTTTATATTATAACAAAAATTTGTTTGAATATATATATTTAATATTTATAATTTTTATATTTAGAATTGATGCTGTCTACATTATTTGATAAAAATAAAGGCTTGCTCTCTTTTCTTAATAAAGAACTTAAAAGATGCAATTCTCAAAAGGGTTTTGATGTAGCAATTAAAGAAACATTTTATCTTCTAGAATTTATCATAGAACAATTCTCTGATATATTTATACCTTATATAATTGAAACAAAGGTATTTTACAATTTATATTCATATATTTAATTAATATATATGTATGTAATATATATTTTTATATATACATATATTTAATAAATTTAACTTTTTATATATAAGATACTAAAATTTCATTTGTTTAAAGAATACATGTCAATTGGCACTCGTAACACATTGTTCAGCATTTATTCAGAAGGCTGCCTCTAGTACATTTAATAAATTGATAGAAATTTTTAAAGAATATGATATTGAATTAGGTGAAACTGTAAAAAAATTTGTGTCATTGTTTCATTTAATCGATATAAAAGGTAATATAATAATGTATAATAAATTTATATAATATAAACAATTTATAATTATAAATATTCCATGATTTAGTATTAATAAATTTAATTTTTCATAGAGAGAAGTTTTCTATTTTCTGTACTTAGCACAATTACAAGATATTGTCCAGAAATTTCAGAAATACAAGAATATTCTAATATAATTTTTCAACAATTAAGAAATGATATTAAAAAACAGGTATAATATTTTTAATATTTTTAAAAAAAAATTTTAATTTTTATAATATAGTATATATAATTATATTTATAATTTTAGTATAATTCAAAAACTATGTTTCATTCAATGGATACATTTCAAGTATATTTGGATGCACTTTCAAATATATTAACAGAACTCCCAAAGGAAATGGAAATAGAAAAATATTATGAGGAATTGTATAATTGGATTAAAGAATTAAGTAATCCTAAAAAATATTCAATTAAGAAAGTTTCAATGAAATCGGCAATTAATTTGTTATCTAAACATATGTATCTCTTTCGTGAATTTGTTTATTGTGATTACAAATATTGGTATGACTTATTGATAACTTTTGCTCAAGATAAAAATGTACAATGTAGTGAATGTGGACAACATGCTTTAAAAAGTTTTTATCAAGTAATGGGAAATACTTTAAAACATAAATCTTCTGATGATGATAAAGCAATATTCTTGGTAATTTTTATTAATTTTAAAAAAATATAATTTGACAATATTTAACATTTTTTATATTTTAGTATTTTAAAGATCTTTTTGAGGCACAATTAAAAAACAACCATCATATAAATTCAAATATGTTACGTTTTATTATATATGGATTTAGTCAAATGGCTGCTCCATGTAAAAGATATCTTAACAATAAAGATGTGAAAGATATGTTTTCACTCATAGCTAATTATGCTATGTTACTTTGCTCAAGGTATCAAGTATATTTATAGTATATTTTTTTTAATATTTTATAATAATTTATAATATTATATAATAATTTATTTTTAATATTATAGAGATGAATTAGAAAAAACACATTTAGAAAGTATTTGTGATTATCAAGAAGCTTTTTCAGAAATAATATTACATACATCAGAACTTTCAATTAATCAGATTAACATAATTACAAAGCTTAGTATTCTTTTAGTTAAAAGATTTCCTGATTTTCCTATATCTAGTCAAAATCTTGCCAGATCTTCATTAATGAATACCATAATTAATGTTGAAATAATGAGCAAAAACTTTTTAGATGAATTTCTTTATAATTTAAGTAAGTATATAATATATACACATATATATGTGTGTATATATATATATATTATTATAATATATATATATATTATTATATATATATTAATATATATATATATTAATTATATATATATAATTGTTATATAATAATTGTTTATTGAATATTCAGTTTATAATGGAATAATATGGACTTGTTCACATACGTTGTTGGTTGATGCTGAATTACAACGAGGATTGAATAATCTCCCGGAACGACCATTATGCTATAAAAATTATTTGCCTTTATGGTTATATCTGTTAAATCCAGATAATTATCGAAAACATAGACATATTACACAAAATATAATTGATTCAATTATAGATGTGGGCATTATATTAATTGATAAATTAAATCTGAATACAAAAATGAAAGAAGATAATGTATTTTCAGATACAGCTTTTTCTCAAATTGCTGAGAATGAAGCAGATTTTCGAACATTCGTTAATATTGTAGATTTATATGTTGATATAATTAATGATTTAAACTCCTCTTTATTTATAAATACAATACACAAATTTTTAGTGAAAATTATCACTATATCTTATAAACACCATTTAGTATCAGGTTTTTATAAATTAGTACATGCAATATTTAAACATATTTGCATTTTAAGTAATAATGAAGAAAATGAAATTGAAGTAGAAACATTAGAAATGTTATACAAATATTTAATAAACGTATTAGATTTGATTCCCACGTTTTCTAATGAATTATTAACTACATGCTTATATTTAATTTTAAATGTACCATTAAGATATGTAGAACGCATATTGAACAATACAATTCCAGCTTTTAAAATTGCTTTTACTTTTGGGATAAGTGATTTTGACTTAGCTTATACAGCTTTAAATGCATTAGAAAAGTGGACAAATCATTTGGATAATCAACATATAACTCTATTTTTGCAAGAAGTAGTACCATTTTTAGAGCCATATTTGCATAGTGGAGAAAGTTCTGTAGAATTTTTACAAGACATCATCAAAACAGAGCGAAAAGTTATTAAACGAATAATATTAAGAGATGATGATAATACTTTGGAAAGATTTCAAATGAGAATTTTGTTGTTTATAGCTTCACTTGATACCAATATAATAATGCAGTTTATATATAAAAAATCTATGGAAACAGGAGCTACTTGGAATAAAAAAGATTTACTTAAATATTCATTGACATTGTCAGATACACAAGTTGATATCTATTTCGATAAAATTTTACCAAGAATAATTTTACTGGCTCAAAATTCTGGGGATAGACGGACAAAAATAATTGCTTGTGAAGTACTTCATTCAATTGTAGTTTATGTTCTTGGTAAAACATCGCAACATTTAACATCTAATCCGGATAAATTTGTACCTATTTATATAATATTATGTCCAGCTTTACTAAATTTAAGTTGTGATTATGAAGAAGCAACAAGAAAGATTTTTCAACCATTAATGTTACAATTAACGCATTGGTTAAGCTCAAAATTTATGCTCGAGTCTCCAGCTACTGTATATTTTCTTGATTCACTTTATAAAGGTCTTTGCAATGACAACAATTTATCTCTTAGAGAATTTTCTGGCATGTGTCTAGCTGAATTTACCAAATGGTCTATAAAACAATCAAATAATGAAATAAATCAATCAAATATTTATGAAGTCATACATAAAATGACAAATTTTGCTCTTCATCCTTCTACTTCTAAACGAATAGCAAGTTCAACAGCTTTCAATCATCTTTATATCATTCTACGCGAAGATGAGAAGATTGTGTCCATATATTGGCTGGAAATTTTATACAGCTTTGTCAAAAGTTTAAATGGTTGCAATAATCCATCAATTATTGTTTCTCTTAACCACATCGAGAAAGTTCTAATAGCGAAAAAAAATCTATTTAATGCAGAATACCACAATCGTAGAAAACCTTATGAATTTGAAGGTTCAACTTTAATTCATGCTGTAAATTGGTTACTTACACAGTGTGGATGTTTAGATCAGCATTGTCGAATAAAATGTATGGATTTAGTTATAAAACTTTCTGAACATGTTGCAAATTATGATTCAGTTAAAACAGTGATAAATAATTACATCGATACTCACGGAATTGAAACATTTAATCATATAATTTTAAATGAATTACCAAAGATAGAAAATTTATCTATTAATGGTATATTACCTTTTCTCAGAAGTTTAGATTGTTATATTTGGCTAATAAAAAACAATCTATTAAATATGGAATGTTTATTTGGTAATTCAAATCCACAAAAAGAAGTAATCTTCAATTGTGCAAGAAATTTCGTACATGTGATAAATAGAATTAAAATAGAGGATAAGGAAAATGATTTAATAATGTTATCAAAAGAAATTGAAAATTTACAGACATTACAATGTAAAACAATATTGACATTATTTGATTTCATACAAATTTTATTGAATTTTGATGTAAATATTCTTATTTAAAATAATTCAAAAAATTGCTATATATTAGGAGATTTTAATCTTTGATGTTTTTATTTAATTTTAGGGAAATTTTATTCCAGATTTCTTTTTTAATAAAGATTTTTTTGAATTAATTGCAAAATGTATAATGTGTCCTCAAGTAATAGGATTTGACACAAAGAATCTTGAAATTACTGCATTGCTTCCTGTAATTATGGAAAATTTATTACAATCAATAATGCTCAAAGATCCCTTATCATATCTGATTAAGTGTGAATTATCAATATATGTGCAGAAACATGTAAATGATTATATTGAATTAGATAATATCACTTCTGATATAAACAATTTCAGTAAACTTAAACAATATGTTCGGGGTTTAATCTTTTTGAAACGTCATGATGTCCTCAATGAATTAGATAATGTAAAATATATATTTATAAATTTGTCTTATATTAATGCTTTATATGATTAAATTTATAATTAGTGATATTATTTTATAGATTAAAGAATTGATTTATCAATCAGAGGAGAAAGTTGTATATATATTCAAGTTTTTAGCAAGAGAATGGATAGGAGAACTTGTTTCTGCAGATCTAAAGCCATTAGTAAAAAATTATTTGGAAATCTTAATGGAATTTTTACTTATACATTATGAGGTATGTTATCTAAGAATAAAAATAGAAAATATTTTTAATATATTAAAAATATAAATAATTTGAAATATAAATAAAATGATATTTGCAGTCTTCAATAACAATTAAAATAATTGAATTAATAGAGAATGATACAATGCTTGGACCAGATTCTAAGAAAATCGAATATGGTATACATTTTCTAAATACATTTAAATGTGAAATATTTAGATACATATTAAAGGATATAGAAAAAACTATAGAAATATTTAATGATGTAGTGGAAAGAAATCCGTTTCTTTTTTTAACTATAATAGAGCAATTATTTTTATTCGTACAACGACATAAAAAAGAATTGCATAATCATATAGAAATACTAGTAGATACTGTTATTAAAAAATTTGCAATATTTGAAAAAGCTGCAAATAATTTCGAAGATAGAAAACAAAAATTAATAAATATTTTCGGAATTGCAGTTCATTTAAAGAATAAGCCAATAGAAGTATTATCTATAAATGAAGATTTTTATATATGGATTCTTAATCAATTAATGGATAATTCAGATATAGAATATAAAATACATATTCTTCAGAATTTTCTCATATGTTTAATTGATATGACGTCTGAAAAACCAGAATTAATTGTTATTTTACGTAGTTTAAAAAATTATAAACACGATGTATGTCCAAATGATTTTTTACAAAAAAATATGAAAGCTTTAAAAATTATCAATTGTTTCCAAATATTAATAACATTGTTACCAGTTACTAAATCGGTGATAGTATTAGAAACTATTATTTCATTTGCAGCTGGTATCGCCGAATATTTGTGTAATGAAAAAAGTAACGAATATTTACGAAATTATTTTGTTTCAATTACTACTCATTATGTTTTAAAATCTATACAATCAATATACAAATTATTTATGAACTTAAACACATTAACAAATGAAAGATTTGATATATTAAATAAATTTCTTTTACCATCATTTGAATTGTGTGAAATTACTGAAATACATCAATTCTTTGAAACAAATATCAAAGAAATATATACAATTATTTGTAAAGACTTTGATAACTCAACTGTAAAACAACTTATAGTATCCAAAATAGGATGTTATGATCTTGTTGCAATTATGTTTACAAAATTACACATAAAAGATATAGATAATATTGAAAGTATAATTACTCGAAATGCTATTGACAATATAATTACTGGAAAAGAACTTTTACAAAGTTTATACAGTAATGCATTAAATACACGTATGTTAAAGATACCTGAGATATCTGATTCTGAACTTAAAGAAACAACAAGATTGTTGCATTGTTCAGCATATAATTGTTCCATATCTATTGTATCTAATCTAAAAAAAGATGAAGATTCTTATGTAAGCATTTTTGTTGAAAATAGAAAAAAGAAACAGCTAATTTGGGAGAATATTATAGATTGTCAGAAGCAATATAATTTTCAACAAACAGTTACAGAATATCCAAAATATCGTAAAAGATTGATTAATATAAGAAAGAGCATGAAAGAAAAACAAGTTTTAAATCGTTATTCATATATTTACAGTTATGATCTATCTACTTGTACTTTAACTGAAGATATAAATGCTTATGATTTTAATGAAACTATTATACATAATAAATCTGATAAAACTAATAAAAAAGAAAGCATGACGTTAATATTCGAAAATGATGAATTAAATAATCATGAATGTATGGCTTCTATTTGTGGAGTTTTAAGTCATATAATATCAGAAGAAATATCTGTACCAACTACTGATGGTGATATTATATTGCCTAAATGGGCAAAATGTTTTCTTAATTCTATTACAACAACAAATTATGATAATGTTAGACTATTTATGTTAAAAATTATTTTAAATATGTCCACTGTATTTCAACCTTATACAAAATTTTTTCTTCAACCAATAATGTATGTAACATACTTATATTTGAAAAAAAATCAATTAAATTATATTATTGTTGATGTTATAGAAATGTTAATAGATTGGCAAATTTCTTTTTTTTCAAAAATCGGGAGATTTCACATTTGATCAAAATAAGAATACAATTCAACAGCTATGGGAAATAATCATTCAAAAAGTAATAATAATAAAGACTAAAGAAATTTCCAAAGCAATTTATAAATATAACATGAACATGTTAAAAACAATACTTGAAGTTTGGCATCCTTATTTAAAACTACCTGCAAATTTAGATGATAAGATGAAAACTGCACCCAAAGCTACTGTATATTTAATATTAATTTGTTTTGTCAATGGCATGGATAAAGATATTATTCATAGAAATAATATTTTAGAATTTTTAGAAAAGTCTCTAGAAAATTGGAAAGATGATGAAGACACAATTTTGCAATGCTGTGAATGTTACGGATTAATTTTAAAATTCTTAGATGATAACGCTACGTTAGTAAATAGAAAAGGTATTATAATTGAAAAAATTCGAAATATATTAAGACAGATGCAAATGAAATTTGAAAACAGACAAATGAAATGCATTCGTGCCTTATGTAAAAATTATCCAGCTGCTGCAATGATTTATTTCGAATTTGTTACAACAAATATATTTAAAGTAGATGTTCAAGGCAAGTCAAATTGTTTAGAAATATTTCTATTGTGCATACCAAATCTCAATTCAGATCAGTTATTGAAAGAACTATCTTATATAAAATTTCATGATTTACTAAGAAATAAAATTTTACCCTGTGAAAAAATAGCATTAAAAATAATTGATTCTCTAGTTCTTGTTCTACCACCTTCAAATGTTTTATCATTTATAACTTTAGTACGACCTTATACGAAACATGAATTTTCTGAATATAGAGAAATTGTTTACAGTATATTTATTAATATTTTTAAGAAATATGTAGCAAATATTTCTGAAAATAATGAAATTAAGGAATTGATACATATTAGTAAGGAAATATTACTTAATGGTATATTGGATCCTACTGAAACATTGCAAGAAATGATACTAAATTTTTGGACACAAGATGCACATTTAACAAATACTTGCAAAGAACGATTGATTGAAATTTTAGATGTTTATACTCCCAGTGCTGGTCAAAATTTCTTGCCATTCACATTTTTATTAATTTCAGACCTTATTAAGAAATCTGGGGATTATACACGAACAATGTTTGAACCTTTATATAATTGCAGTTATAGAGATTACAAAATAGCTCTTTCATGGAGAACAAAGAATTTGGGATCAAAAGCTCCACTTTTTGTTCCATCTTTAACTAGTCAAATGAATCAAACGTTTAGTCAAATAAATACTACATTGCTATCTTCTGATATTCCATACACAAAATCAATATACGAATCTAATGTTGAATTAGAACTTCAAATAACTCAAGAACTTGAATTCGAACCGACTTATGCCAATGAAACATTTATTGAAAAATTCAATAATTCGGAACAAGATGATATATTCAAAATATCGAAAGTGCCGCAACCTGCTTACAATAAGAAATCAAAACGATTTTTATGCAGTGTAAATGATGTTTCCGCAGCTATGCGAGAAAAAGAAATTAAGAAAAATATACAACATATGGAAATGATAAAAGAAGAAATCACTCGACAAAGAAGTAGTGTAAAATTATATAGAAAATACAGAATCGGTGATTTTCCAGATATTGAAATATCGCATGCTACATTAATTGAACCATTGCAACAGTTAGCAAAAAATGATCAACTGATTTGTAAAGATTTAACAGTTTCTATTATTTATTCATTAATTGAAATGTGCAAACAAACGAACAAACACAACGGCTTTACGAAAAAGTTTGTGGATAGCATAAAATATATTATAGAAAATGAACGAGATAGCAATTCTACTATAACGGCAATTTTAGAAATTTTATGGACTACTTCTATAACAGATTGTTCACCAGAAATTATCGCAAGAGTCTCGAGATCTAATAGTTTGAATTTTCTTGGATCACTTGTTTTAGAGGAAAATTTAATTCATAATATAAATATATTTGAACCGCCTAAGAAAAAAATACAAAGCGAAATTATGAATGATTCATCATCTGAATGGTTGCAATTAACAAATCTTTATAAATCTATGAATGATGTTGATGTAGTTCTTTGTATTTTTCAAAATCATATCACGAATGAAGATATACAAGTATTTATTTATTTTATAATAAATATATGTATTATATATATTTCATTAATCACGATATATTTTTTTAAATCATTTTTTTTAAATTTTAGATTGCATCATTTGCACAAGCATCCAACAATTGGGAAAAAGCAAAAGTAGCCTATAATAAAGCGTATGAAACTGAATCGGAATTAACGAAAGAGTATTGCCTTCAAGGCTTGTTCGAATGTTTAAGTAATTTATGCTGTTGGGATGAGATTAACGAACACATAAAAAATGAATTTCACAGAAATTTGGACAATATTTGGAATGATCCACGAAAAGATTGGATGTTTCCTTGGATATTTACAGTAAATATCCGTAAATTATTAAACGAAGATACTAGTGATGAGTTTAGTAATGATGTGAAACTCATGGAATCATGGTTGAATGATGAAGAAAAAATAAAGTACATTAAACGATTCTTTGGGGAAGAATTGGCAATGTTTTTTTTGCATAATCAAATAGGAGTTGCTCGTGAATTTTTGTTAAATTCTTTAGATGAAATGAGAGAACAGTGGATCAAGCTTCATCCTCTTTCTACTCAATTAAGAATTTCTAAACTACAAAAGTTAAGAATCACTAACGATATTGATATATTTATAAAGATTTTGAGAACAGCAAAATCCTGGAATGATTTAGATGAAGTATTCAAGTTTTGGAACAAGAGTATTCCTTTACCACAGGATGTTATACTTTTATGGGATAAATTAACATCCTATAGAATATATTTCATTGATTCATTACTTAGTAATAAATTGGAAGAATGGAATCACCTTAATACTGAAAATAGTCTTGATGAAGAAGAAGTTGCAATTATGCATAGATTGCATACTATTAATTTTAATATGAGATTAAAAATGGTTGAAGCATCAATGAATCAAGGGAATAAATACATAGCAAAAAAATATTTACGACAATTAGAACAAAATATGGAAAATTATTCATCAGATTTGAAATATGAATTTTTGTTATATTATGGGAAATTTATATATCTGACAGGAGAAATTGAAACAGATATGAAGAAAAAGCTATTAAAATATATATCTTCTTGGACACATTGTCATACTATTTTAAAAAAAAACGATCTTCAAGATACTATGAATATTAATATTCGAAAGCAAATCAGTGAGATAGCATTGAAAATTGTACAAATGAGCGAAAAAAATGAAATATTTGCAGAACTATTAATAGAAAAGACTGCTGCTTTTAAAGAATAAACATAAAAAATAATGATTTATCTAGTATTAAGAATGCATTGGAAACATATACTTTTAATCATTTAAGAATGTGTTGTGATATGACAGTTATGAATATTAAAGAATGTTATTTCAGTCTTGCAAAATACTGCTACGATAGATTATCGCGTGGTTCAAATGATATTCAACTGAGCAAAGAATTTATATATTCTATATTAAAAGCAATGAGTTACGGATCTCTTGAAGCAGCTCATTATTTTCCTTGTTTGCTAAAACCTGAATATTTCTATGATCAAGAAACAAAAGATATTTTCATTAAAGAGAGCGAAGGAATTCAAACATGGTTATTTCTCTCTTGGCAAGCTCAATTATTTTCTCATTTAGGAACATCCATTGCTCCATTAATTATACCTATTCTCAAACGGATTGTTGAAATGTATCCTAACGCGATTATTTACACATTTCGTTTAACAGTCGAAACAAATCCTGTTCTTTTAAACGAAACTAATACTTACGAAATTCGTAAAATTCTTTATAATAAGTCAGAAATTAATCAATTTTTGCTAGCAATGCAATATGTAGTCCAACCAGAATTATACTTGCAATATTATTTACTTGAATTTCGGAAAAATTTATCTCTTGGTACATCTACAGCTATAGATATACTTCTCAAGAAAGTATATCCGGATATAGAGGAAAAAAAAATGATCCAAAACCAGGAAATATTTTTAATGAAATTATAGCATATAAAGAAAAGATAAAAGAATTAACAAACAAAAAAACTGACGAAATAAGATTGCTAGTAAATAAAATGATTGAAAGTATTAAAGTATCACTTTACAAACGTAAAGATAAGCTTAAATTGCAAGATTATAGTCCATGGTTTTGTAATTTTTTTGAAAAAAACATAGAGATACCTGGTCAATATACTGGCAAAAGAAAACCTATGCCTCAATATCATGCAAAAATTATAAAGTTTGAATCTACTGTAAAAGTAATGCAATCATTACGCAAACCTATTCGAATTACTATGATTGGTAATGATGCGAAGGATTATCATTTTCTAGTAAAATTTGGAGAAGATTTACGACAAGATCAAAGATTACAACAGTTATTTACTATTATGAACAAAACTTTGTTTATTAATGCAGCTTGTAAACAAAGACAATTACTTATTGATACTTATCAGGTAAATAAATGTTTTTTAAAATAATATAGTAAAACAATGAAAAATAATTAATTTTTTAAATATAGGTGATTCCATTGTCTAAAACAGTGGGTCTTATACAATGGATAGATAATACAAAATCTTTACAAGAGTTAATATATTTCACACTATCAGAACAAGAAATAAAACACTATGATTCTATATTTAAAATGTATCAAAAATGGATAGAAAATGCTGCACCTTCTAAAAAATTAGTACATGAAAAGTATAAAGAAGCAGTAGTAAAATATAATGCTTCAGAAGTATATATTAAAATGAACGAATTTATTAAGAAAACTAAATGGGATAGTTTACGCAAGACATTAATAATATTATGTCCATCTATAGAAAGTTTCATTATAATGCGCCGAAATTTTATCACTTCATATGCTACTATGTGTATTGCGCATTGGATTTTAGGCATTGGGGATCGACATTTGCAAAATATTCTTATCGTTATCGATTCAGGACGTTGTTTAGGTATTGATTTTGGGCTAGCCTTTGATGCTGGTGTTGATCAAAAAATACCAGAATTAATGCCTTTTCGTTTAACACCTCAAATTTTGGGTTTATTAAAACCTTTCACTGAAAAAGATCTTTTGAGAACAATAATGATTCATGTATTACGAGCAATGAGAAATGAACAAGGACCTATTCTTTCTTGCATGGATGTTTTTGTTCATGAACCTTTAAACTGGACAGAAAATGTTAATAAAACATTAAGAGAAAGTGAAGAAGATATTATAAGTAATTTTTAATGATGCAAAATGAAGTATTTTAATTTTCAAATAGATATATATATATTATTAATATATAACTATTTTTTATTTTAATTAAATTACAGATATCAAATGGATACCAATGAAAAAAATTAAAGCAGTTACAAAAAAATTAAATGGAATTAAACCATCTTTAATTATGTTAGATCAATTAAAAGAACAACATTATGATAAATATTTCGATAGGTATTTTACTATAATTACTGGAGATGATGATATAAAACGTATACGAGCAAAAATGAATGACTCTTTAATTCCTGAAGAACAGGTAATATTGAAAAAAAACTTTATTTTTATATTTATTATTATTTAAAAATAAAATTTCTTAAATATTTAGGTTGAATGCTTATTGGATCAAGCAACAGATTTAAATATTTTGGGTCGCACGTTTGTGGGATGGAAACCTTGGCTTTAACGTGTTTTATATAATTTATAATAAACTTTAATTATTTTTATATATTTATAAATTTCTTTAATAATTTAATTAAACAAATAAAAAACTAAAAAAGAAAAAAAATGAATAAGTCATAGTTGTGTATAACAAATTTTAATAATAATAATAGAAATATTATTATATAAGATATTAATATATTTATTGGATATTCTTTTGAAGACAAATTAAAAGATTAAAATAAAATAGAAAAGATATACAAAGTATCAATTAAAACTTAAATTAAAAACAATTTAAGTTTACGTAGATAAAAAGAAATGAGGATAAAGTAAAATAATAAGCTCTATATTTATTTTTATCATATCGTTATCTCATTTTCTCCATTTCGCTTATCTAATGAGAATTCAAATTATTTATAATCAATATTTTTGTTTTAATTTTTAAATTAATTAAAAAGTTTGATTGTCTGATTCCACAAATATATTAACATTTTGCATAATTTTTTTATATTTTATTATTATTATATATTTTATATTTTTCTGATGTTTTCTTATGTTTAAATTATCAATAATAAATTTATTATTGAAATAGCTAGTATTTAATATTTATACTTATATTAAATATCTAATAAATATTTTGAATGTTTCAAAAGAAAAGAAGAGAGAATAAAAGATTAATATAAAATCTATATATAGTAATTAATCAATTTCAAATCATTTAAAAAAAAACTATGTGAAAAAAAATATATATATGTATTTATTATACTTAAAATTATTTAAAATTAAATTGCAGTTAATTTTGATATCAAATTATATTTAATATTTTTTTTAATTTACATTTAGTAATTTCGAAATAAATTATGCATTTTTATATATTTTATAAGATTTTATGTAGATTAATAATGAACAAGAAATAACTTGTGATTTTTGTCTTTTTTTTATCATTTCCATTATATCATTTTATTACATATAGATATACAATATAAAAATGTAATTAATTACATTTTTATTTTTTTAATTAATAATAAATTTTAATCTTCAGTAAATTGATTATTTGTTCTATTTTTCAAATTCTATTATATGAAATAAGAAATAAGAAATTAGATTATATATCACTATTTTTCATTTTTATTTTCATAATTTTTAAATAAATTGCATCATAATTGAAATAAATTGCGAACATTTTAAATTTCTTCATTAAATTATTAAAATTATTGATAAAATAAACATAAATATAGATTTTAAAATTTAATTTCTTATTTAATAAACTATTTTATAATGCTAATTCTTACACACAATAAATTATATTCACAGTAAATTATCTTAATTCTGATGAACTAAATCGTCATTTGTGTATAATTCAAGATAAATAGTTCTTTCATTATACAAAATTGAGATCTTTGAAAATTTGCTTATTTAAAGCATTTTTTTTATGAAAAATTATAGAAATTAATTTTTTGTATTTCACAAACGTTTACAATATTTGCCGTATAATATATTACAATAGATCATCTGAAAAATATTTAACATTGTTGCAACTGATCTTGCAATTGTGCATAACGTGTTTGTAATACGCGTTCTCGTTCTGTTTGTCTGTTGACATCTTCCATAAGTGCATTTACTCGTCTTGGTACAGCAGCTTCTTCTTGTGTTTGTAAAAATTTGAATGTTGAAAGTTCTAAATGCGCTTGTTCTATTTGTTCCCATAAATCATGCAATTGTTTTGTTAGTACTTGTGCTCTAGTCTATAATAAAGAAAATTTATGCATTAACATCAGTTAATGTATAATAATATTTTAATAATAATACATATTTTATATAAAATAAAAGAAAATAAAAATATGAACCTGATAACCTCCAGTAAGAACTTTTAATTTTTTTTCCATTCTTGCTGCTCGTTTAGCTTCACCAGTCATATGCATGCGATTTTCTTCTAATTTTCTTTCGCACGCTTCTACTCTATCTTTTTTCGAAGCTAAAGTTGCTCGCGTATATCTTTTTTGTGTTTCCAGATATAATATCTGATAAAATACATTAGAAAATAAATAAAAAGTTTATAAAATTTCAAATATTTCGTTATAAAAAATATATGCCAGTAATACCTGTGACAAACATTCTTCCCATACAGTTGTATAAGAATCTAAACTTAGTTCTCCATGAGCCATACCTTCTTTTACTACTGCCATTTCATCAATTAAAAGTTTCTTAGCCTATGTAAAATATATCTATATATATGTATATATATATAAATTTATAAATGTTATTAATTTAAAATCATATAACGAAATTAACTTACAGCAGCAAGTTCTTCTTTTTCAAAATTAATATATGGATGTTGCTCTAAATAAGCTTGTGCTTGAGCTATTGAATTTGAAGAACTTTTACGATTTTGTTGTACTGGATTTTGTAATGCATCATATTGTAGCATTGTGATCATTTCTCTTTTAATTAGTTCTTCAGCCTAAAATAATATTTTTGATAATAATTATAAATATTTATATTATATTATATTGTATATACACATAATATATACATATATTCAATAATTATGTGATCATACCCTTTGTAAATCTGTTAATGGAGTATCCATAAATGGTCTCAAAATATTCATATTTACATCAACTGGACGTGGTAAATCACGTTGTATAACTTGTGATCTTCTAGATAATTCTTTTTTCCCTACAAAATGTGATTAATATATAAATAATTTCTAATAAAAAATATATATATATATATTTCAGCATATTTTACTTTGTTCTATTAATTCTTGCTGCTGTCTAGCATCTATGTCGGCTTGATCTTCTACAATTTCTGTCGTAGTTGGAGTAAGTTCTTCATCTTTTGTTTCTCCTTCAGGAACTACTATTTCATAATCATTACGCGGTGCAGGGAGTGCATTCAATCCAGCACGTAATTGTTCTTTCACTTGTTTTTGAATTAATGGTGTCTCTGATCCATCTATATTTTCATCTGGGTTGATGCTTAACTTGTCACGAACTGGTGTAGCTGCTAGAACTCCATTTTGTGTTCGTGCAGATATTGGTGTATTAAAAGAATTAGCTGGTGTTCCGTCACTACGTTGTGAACGAAATGGAGTAGCCAGAATTGTATTTGGAGTTGCTACAGTATTTGTAGAAGGTACAACACCAGTGAAATCAGAATTATTTAAAGGAGTATTTAATCCACCTGTATGAAAAAAAAATAAACAAAATATCTTGAATTCTCTGTAAATAAAATTATAAAATTATATATTTTTATAACCGACCTTTTAATGGAGTATCAACATGAGTAAGAGCCATAACATTTTGAGCTTCTTGAAGAATTCTATCTGCAGCAGCAGCTGGAGTACGTGGAGTTACAGCTGCATTAGTTGGTAAAGAGTAATCAGCCAATAAACTATCTGATAATGTAATACCACTTTCTGTTGCAACTTCACGAGCAACCTATTAAAAATGATAAAATTTATATTATATATTTTTTACAAATGAAATGAACTAAATATATTAATTGTAATAATATACCTCTGATGCTCTACCAAGCTTAACTACTTGTTGCAATTCTTGATCAGATATTTGTGGTTCTGGTAAAACAAGTTTACTTCTTTTCTTTATTGGTTCTTCATTATTTAACATTCCCATTGGAATATCATTTTCTTTACGTTGCTTTAATTTTTGTTTATCCTTCCTACGTTCCATTTCTTCTTTTTCTTGTCTCAATTCTCCATCTAAATGTTGCTGTCTCATTTTTGAAAAATCAATAGCAAGTGGATCTACATGTTCATTAGATGTATCGTAGAATCCAGGTGCCGGTCGTTTTTCAAATGGAATTTCAGAATTATAATTTACTCCGCGTTTACGTTTATTCTTTTGTGATACAGTAATACCAGCAGCTCTCAATTCTCTACGTTTTTGTAGAGCAGCAAGCCTGCGAGCTTCTTCTAACTGTTTTTCTCTAGCTTTACGTTTTGCTTTTTTACCTTGTGTATTTGCAAGCCTAGCACGTGCTTCAGATAACATTTCCAATTCTGAAAATTACTAATTTTATTGCTGTTACATGTAATAAAAATTAATAATTTTTTAAATGGAAAATATACCATCTTCATCCATGTCTTTAGGATCAGGCCTGGCTGGTTTTGTTTCAGGATTTGGATCAATTTCTCCAGGTTTTAGTTTACGAGGATCATCTGTAGCATCATCTCCTTCTTCTTTTTTTTGAGCTTGATCTCTAATATAAAAATAAAGAATATATAAAACTCACTTTAAGAAATAATATAAATTTTATAAATTTAAATTCTCACAGCAAATATTCATAACGTTCTAAGCATTGTGCTGCTGTACGTCCTATAATTGGAGCAATTGTTCTCCATTGAGTAGGCATTAATTTTGCAAGATGAAGAAGTTTTTCATCTTCTTCTCTGCTCCATTCTGTTTTTTTAATGCTTGGATCTAACCATTCAAACCAACGTGCTTTACATTGTTTAGCAGACTTTCTATGTAAAAGAGATGCTATTCTGCTCCATTGATTTTTGCCATATTTCATTACAGCTGCTTTTAAGATTTCATCCTAAGAAATTAAAAAATGTATATAAAAATTTATCTTTAATCATCAAATAATTAAAAATTTAAATACAGGTTAGAAATCGTTTTTTACCTCCGTATTACGCCAAACTCCACCTTTTATCATAATACGCGGCATTTTTTATATATTTTTTATTTTCATTAAAAAAACAATAAAAAATTAAAAATTTTCACTGATATTCTTGTATTTATTTGATGAATAACCTCATTAGAATTAGCGATAGTAATTTCAACAGAAGAGTAGTTTGTGCGACATCAGAGACATCAATGAAAAAAAGAACAAATATTAATTTCTAATATAAAAGTAAAAATTACATTAAATTAAATAAAGATCACAATTTACATTAACATTCATATAATTAAAAATAGATATATATAAAACTATATATAAATAATGAGAATATTTTTATATATCAAAAGATTTTAAAATCATGAGATTTAGGCATTTAATATATAATTATTGAATACTGATATATACATATACATAGTAAATATAAAAAAATCTATGAATTATACATAATACATTAGCAAGTAATTAATTTATATATATAATCATAAATATTTATAATTAATTATTAAATAATGATATTGAGATAGAAATTAAATTAATATAATATATATCAATTATACATTTACGAAAATATTTGAACATATCTTATTAAGAAATTTATTTAATTAAAAAATTCTGATTTTAATAAAAGTTGGTTTTTTTTTAAATATAGAGCATAATGAATTATATAGAACATGTAGCAACTTTTTTAATAAAAAAATTTTTTTGAAAAAGTCAAATCCACAAGTTCTGAGATGCTTTCATGTTTTAAATATACTTAAATATACTTATTTAAAAATAAAAGTTTTACGATTTATAGATTTTTGAAAAATTAAAAAAATGAAATAAAATAAATAATTTTTCTACTGCAAAATAAAATTTCTAGATTTCTTATATATATATATATATATTTTATATTTAGGAATAATTATTTAGAAGAAATTATTTTTTACACATATAATAATTTTAAAATGAATTAATAAAATTTAATATTTAAATCTAATGATATAATAAATCTATAAGTTTAATCTATTTCTTTATAAATTTGAATTAATAAAATAATTTGATAAATTGATAAATCAATTGCTTATTTATATTTTTTTTATAATTGATTTAAAAATAATAATTGATTTAAATAAATATTTAATTATTTCATATTAAATTATTACTATTTTATTGATTTTATATTTTTAATGATAATTTCATACAAATTACTGATTAGACATTTATCTAAATAAATACATATATTAGTAACAATTAAGATGAAGTTAATTTATATTAATTTATAATTGTAATATAAATATTAGATTGCATTCAAACTATAAATAGATAATAAAAATTTTAGATACAAATAATATTTGTAAATATTATTATATACATAATGTTTTTATTTTTTAATAAAAAATTATTTTTTATTTGAAAAATTTTAAAAAATTTAATTTAATTTGATTGTACAAAGAATGATTAATTATATACAACATAATAGTAACATATATGAACTATTTAGTATTATTATTAAAATTTTTATAGAATTATATTATATTATTATAATACATAATTTTAATATAGCATTTACATCAGTTTCTTAATGATATGTAAAATATAACAATATAATTTTTTTATATTTATCTTTGAATTTTAAGGTTTCCAACTAAGAAAACTGTCTTGTATAAATATTTGTTTAAATATACTAGGTGTAATAGATTGTGGAGTTTTACGATTACGTTGAGCTTCTAAAATATATGAAACTTTTTCTCTTGCTTCACTACGAGAAATATCACCTCTAAGACCCAATAATCTGACTAAATGATCTTCAGTCATATCTGGATATTTTTCAACCAATGAATGTAAATCAAGAGAAAGAATTTCTGAATCTTCACAACGTAATACTTCAGCAAGACGTTTAATTATTTCAAAAGGAGAATTAAAGTTTCCTACTTTTGGAGCTATTCTATCAAAAAAATTTTTTAGTTTATCTGCTTCTGTCATTATCTTTGATGTACATGTTAAACATTCATCATATGTTTTTAAAGATATTTTTCTCTGTAACATTGCAGAAATGTAACGTTTTGCAATAAGATTTTGTGCTTCTGTAATAACATATTCAAAATTTTTTGGACATAGATGATTGTAATCCTGAAAATAATCTTCTAAAGTCACGCAAATAGTTTCTACTGGAATAGGAGATGATAACCATTTTGGAGTAATCAAATCTTGAAATTGTAATTCTAAATCTAAGAAAGATTCTTCTAATAATATAGCTGCTGCTTCATTTCGTAATTGTTGATAATTTGACAATAAATTTTCAAATTTAACAGTAGCATCTCCACTAGTATTAGAAACCCAGTATAGCTGTTTCATTTGCTGTGCTAATTCTGTAAACTGTAAGCAATTATTAACAACTGTAATCATATGATGTGTAAAATAAGGTACTTGACTTCTATCTTCAAAATGTTTGTTTTTAAATTCTAATATTGCTTGTCTATACATAAATCCATATTTAATTACTTGTTCAATACATAGGACTATAGCTTGTGCTGTTAATTCAGTACTAATTGTTTTTGTAACTTGAAGATTTTGATCAATCATTTGAAATATAATCACAGGTGCTGCTGTATGATAATATGCTTCTTGAGTGCTTCCTTCTGGTATCACTCCACTCCACCAATCCACTTTTTCAGTTTCCAAAGTCTTTTTCATCCAATCTTCATAATTTTGACACATATTTTTCAAATATTTTTCTTGAAGATCATTTATAATTTCTGGACTTAGCAAAGGACCTATATCACTTGTATCAATATTTAATTCAGGATGTTGCATTAATTCTGGACCAGTATAAGTATTCATAATCCATGATAATAAAGATACATATTCATTTCCTTCTAAACCATTGGCAATTATGTCTTTCAAATGTTGTGATAAACTTGTGTGATACATTTTAACAAAAGTTCTTACAATATTATACCAAGGTGGAAAACAAGGTTCACATAGAGTTTTAGCAACTCGCAGATCTTCCAAAATTAATAGTCTTGTAAGCTCTAAATATCGAACTAACCACATTTTATTATCTACTCTTTCTTCAACATGAGTTCCTTCAATTCTATTGGCAACAGATTTTTCTAAAACTTTCATTGCCATATCTTTCCATTTTTTAGGTCTTCCTGGTGGCATAAATCCACTTTGTTTATGTCTTTGAATAGCAAAATGATCTGCTTTCTCTTCTCTTTCTATAATTCTTAACGCTGTTACAATGACAGTAGGTTCTTTTCTAACTGTATTCAAAGTACGGCTTAATACTAATCTGATTTGTTTTTCCATTAGTTGTGAAAGCATTTCAACATCTTCTAAATAAGCTTTTAACATAACAGTATCAGCTGGTGATTGATTTGGAAGTTTATGAAGTTCATATAATAAATCATCTCTTGAATTTTCAAGATCCATAATAATTTGATGAGCATATAAAAGATTTCCTTGATTTATCCACTGTTTAGTCATTTCAACGCTTTCAGGCAAAGTAAATGTATGTTTCAAATTTTCTTTAGCAGTAACATATTGAGAATGACGCATATTTTCTTCCTGAACAGCTTGTAATTTTGCACTAAGTTCTGGGACTTTATTGAAAAATTCATTAATATTATTCAAATCTTGTTTTATTGAAGCAATACTTTCTAAAGAACTTTGGAGCTGTTCAAAGCCTACACGAACTCCATCTAATTGACTTTGCATTGCAGTTTTGAGCATAGTTTCCACTGAAGCTTTTTTTCTACTTATTCTACGTTTGTACATATCAATTTTTTCCAATTGACCTGGTCGTTGCAATAAATTACATCCATATTTTGTTGCCCTTGCTTTAGCCTCTTCTTCCAATTTTTGTAAATCTTCCATTTTTAAAACTTTTTTTAAACTAATATTTTACTTTATAAATTAATGGTTTATTTTATATACTTTTGTTTACTTATAAAAAATGAGGAATAATGATTTTTACTTAAACAGATTCATTTAAAAGAAAAGTATATAGATTATTTTGATATTCACACAATACAGGTTAGACATGTATCTTAAGATAGGTTTACATTAAAAAGTTGTCTTGTTAATTTTCGATAAGAACACACCTTAATTTTTTAAATGCAATCTTGCAAATGTACCGTGTCGTTTTTGAATTTAAAACAAAAATTTGAATATTCAATTATGATAAGGAATGTGATTTAAAAGAATTTACATTATTTTACAATAATAAAAGTTCACTGTAATATTTATAAAAATTGTAAATATAATTTAAATTCTCTTTTTATACAAATGCATTCTCTAAAACAAATATCGAATATAATCAATCTATATTATAAAAGTTATTCACGAAGATATTTAACCTCTAAATCATCTGAAAATGTAGAAATTGAAAAAGAACAAAAGGGTAAATAATTATTTTTATTTATATATTATATAATATATATTTATTATTATAATTTTTATATTTTAAATTGTAATTTATTCTAGGAAAAAATATTGTAGTACAATATTTTGAAGGTGTTGCTATGATTGGTATAAATCGACCTGAAACAAAAAATGCTCTAAATGTTGCAACTGCACAAGAACTAGCAGATGAAATAGACAAATTTGAAAATGATGAAAACTGTTTAATTGGTGTACTTCATGGTATAGGAGGAAATTTTTGTAGTGGTTATGATCTTAAAGAAATTGCACAATATAATGGAAAAAATGAAGAGGTTTTACCTCAATTTGGACCATTGGTAAATTAAATAAGTTTAAAATTTACATTTCATGTAAAATTATATAATTGTTATAATATTAACTTTTATACAAAATACTTATAGGCTAATAAAATTGAATTAAGTAAAAAACCTTTAATAGCTGCTATAAATGGATATGCTTTAGGAGTAGGATTTGAACTTGCATTAATGTGTGATCTTAGAGTAATGGAAGAAAGTGCATTATTAGGTTTTGCCAATAGACGATTTGGGATACCCATATTATGTGGTGGTACAGTTCGATTACCTGCTTTAATCGGATATTCCAGAGCAATGGATTTGATTTTAACTGGTCGTCATATTGGTGCAAAAGAAGCATTTTCATATGGTTTAATTAATCGTTATACAACTGTTGGTAACGGTATTGTAATAAATGCATTATAGTAATAAATAATATAATGTATAAATATAATGAATATAATAAGGAGTATAATGAATATGAAATGTGTTTTTTTATTTACAGTGATAGGACATACAATAAATTTTGCAAGATCTTTTGTGAAGTTTCCCAAAAAAACATTGCTTGCCGATCGAACTTCTGTACATTATGCTACATTTTCTGCTAAACAATTAGAAGAAGCTATACAATTTGAGAAAGACAATGCATCTCATTTATTATTTGAAGAAGGAGTTGAAGGTGCAAAAAGATTTGTTACAGAAGGATTAGGAAAACATGGAAAATTTTATAATATTACGGAAATAAATACAAAATTTAAGGAATTAGATAAAGATCTTTTATAAAGATTTTATAAGAATAAATTTGTTTTAAAATTTTGTAATATGATTAAATATCTATATTATATTCTATGTGTATTATTACCCCTTTTTAAAGAAGATTTAGCAGATAAATTTTTTTTAGGAAAAGCAAACTTTATTAATATATCATTGCACTTTTTCATTATTTTTCCAGTAAGAAGAGGTGTAATATTTATCATTTGACCATGTATATCTCCTAAATAAATAATATTTATTGATAACAATATTTTATATAATATTTAAAACTTACGTTCAAATGTAATTATTATATATGTTAAATTTGCTTGAAAAACATTAAGACCAAGTGTATGTGGTTCAAAAAAGGTAATTTTTCTTAATTGACAGTTAATTTCATCACATAAATCAAATTCGGCTATAAATATATTTATTATTTATTTATTATTTAAATAATATATTTAAATAAATTAATAGAAATAAATATATCCTAATCACTTGTATCATCCAATCCCACTACATTTCGAATATAATTTAGAATTAATTTAAGTGGGCAATTAATATTTACTAAAATTTCTTTATGATCTTCCTCTAATTGGTTATTTTGCTCGTTAACAGAAACTATAAATTAAATATAAATGATATATTTATTTGATAAATATTGCACAATACTGTACAAAAATATTCTTACTGGAATATTTGACTCGGATAATCGACGCCATCGTATGATAAATATTTAGTAAATATTGATCAATACACAGACAATGCAAAAGAAAAATAAATTATTAATTTGTTTTATATATTCTCTTCTAAAAAAATATCGTATATTATATATATTAAAATAATCGAAAATTATTCGATATTTATTGCTGTTCGATATTCAATTTATGTATTAAATTTTCGAACTTAATTAGATTATAATTTGTGTTTTTATGTTGTGTTTAATGTTTTTTAATTAGATTATAATTTTAAAAAAATACGTTAAAAATTAAAATATAACTTTATTTTTAATATATTATCCTTATTTCAACTATATTATTATCATTAGCATATATATATATATATATAAAATATACGCATATAAATATATATAAATCATTGGAGCTATTTCGATTTTAAATCTCTTCATTGCTTGTATGCGAATAAGTGCATCAAATGCAACAAATATAACGTGCATTCAATATGTTATCGAGTTGCAGTCAGATTTTCTTTTAGTGATTATTGACGCATTCATTCGATTGGAATTTAAAATAATCGTGGAATTTCATATTCAAGTTGAACAACGACCGTCCACAGGTTTAATTGGCGAAAGTAATGCGAGCCAGCCACCACCATCGAACCAGTTAAAGCTGTGTGACGAAATGAGTGCAGGTGGCGGTGCATTGTTGCGCAATCGTTTATATCCCTTCTCTTCCTCCTCTTTCTTGTAACCAGGAGTCAGGACGAGAGTCCCCTTGGTAACCAAAGGCCTTCCCCACCAAGTACCTTCCTCCTTGCTCGACCTGGTGAATGTTGCACACCCGCAAATCTCCTCTGATATTTTTTCATTCCTTTATTCTGTTTTAAATTTTCTAGGATTCGATTTTTTTTTATTAATCTTCCATATTAATTAATTATTTTTCATGAATATTTGTTCTTGATATAAAATTTTAAAATTTAATTGTAGTTTAATAAATGCATATATTTATATTTATTTAATGCATTTTATAATATAATATAAATTTTAATTTATTTGAATTATTAAAAATGGATTTTTTTATCCTATAACATAAATGATCTTAAGGTTGAGAATTAATTAAAAATTGTTAATTGAAATTTTAGAAGAAAAACAAAAAATTGTTTTCAATATATTACAATTAATAATTTTTATTATAATTTTTATTATATTTTTTATAACACTATAAAACTATGAGAAAGAAAAATATGAGATAAAAGGGCGGTTCTCAGGATCTTCATTTTGATTAGTCCCGTTGTGTATATGGCATTTGAGAATGGATGATGCCAGAACCTTTCACGAATCACTACTTGATCTTACATTGTGTTATTGTTGTTAGTATACTAGTGAAACAAAAATTTCCTTTGTTGGGAGAGGTAAATCGATGCGTTCTTTATGAGGAAGCAAGATGTGAAAGTCATATCTGATTGTTTCGAATATTCCTAATATTTTCTCTTTTATTTTATGTTTTCAGATATGAATATATATATACTTGTAAGTACTTATTTGAATATTACTTTTTTAATTATTATAAATTTTTTTCATAAATCTTTTAGAAAATTCGGGAAATAATTTTCATAATTTGCAAAAAAATTTACTTTTGATATAATAAAAAATATCGGGAATTTCATTCGATATTTTTACAATCCATTTTTTATCTATTTTTAATTCTTTTATAGCTCAATAAAATAACAAAACATTATATTATCATAATGATAAATTATTGTACATAAATGATTAATAATTTAATTAATAGTACATTTTTTCCTAGACAAACTACTTTTATGTAAATAAGCTAGAGAATGCTAATAAAACTTAACTTGTAATTCTTAGGATAATTTTAAGAAACTTTTTTCTTTGTAAAAATTTTCTTTTATATTAAAAAATTATTATATAATTGTTATATTATTATTACGAACTTTATGTTAATAACTTATTATTATTATTATTATTATTTACAAAAAACATTAGCTAATTACAGAACATATAAAGCTATAATGCTTTGACAGTAGTATTGCATATATTTCGCTGGCTTGAACAAACAAGTTGAAACATATGTTAAAACAAATATACTGAATTATTATTGAGAAAAAGTTATATCGGATTACTTATTTATAAACAATTAATAAATTAAATAGCTTTGTAATATATTATTTCTGCCATCGGAGCATCGGACAGCTCTTTGGATAATATTTATAATAATAATATTTATAATATTTATAATAATATCAATATTATGCTACGCTGTCAATGTACAGTTCTACGATTGATTAATATTTTTCATTAACAAAAGTTGAAAATTTTCGCAAAAGAATAAATTGTTTGAAATCAGTTCAAAAATCGGCATTTAAGCTTTGTTAATTAACTTTTGAGAAAAAGTTACACTCTATAGAAAAATCTCAATTTTGAATGAGACAAAAATCAATATATTTGAAATTCTATAATAAAATCTACAATTATTTTAAATATTTTTTGAACGTTTTTATAGCTCATCTATTATCTATGCTCTAGCTTTTTTGTAACTCAATAATTATAAAATAATAAAATTATTATAATATATAATAATTATTATAACAATTTACTTAATAATCAATTGTTTTTATGAACATAAACTATTATAAAAAAATTTAGTTTGGATTAAATAATAGGTAGAACGTTAATATTTATCTGAGAAAGCCTATGAAACAAATATCTAGAATCTCGACGTTACTGCAATCCATTCTGTATCTTCAGTCCTTTTGCAGCAATTAATAAAATATCTAAGCTTAAACAGCCTGTTCGAAA